GTGAGTGTGTGTGTGAGTGTGTGTGTGAGTGTGAGTGTGAGTGTGAGTGTGTGTGTGTGTGTGTGTGTGTGTGTGTGTGTGAGTGTGAGTGTGTTTGTGTGTCAGTCTCAGCAGGCTTCAGTTGTCTGAATGTGTTTTCTATTCGTCACGGTTCAGCAGTGATGGAGAAATTCTTTGTTTATGTAAAATCTAAAGTAGGTTCTAATTTGGCTTTGATATGAAGTTTCCAAGCATGTGTCCTTTTTGTCTCTCTTATCTATCAAGCTGTTAAGCTCTAAAACTGACAGAGCACATGAAAGTAGCCCATATGACTCGTACTATATTCCAAGTCTTTTGAAACCAGTCACTATGTTTAAGGAAAAACTGAAATGTATCCATTGGCTTCACCACTGTAGCTTTCAAATGTCATTCATGTTCTCATTATCACAGATAATACGGCATGTCAAAGGTTTTACTTCAGTAATGCCAAACGTCATTGGTTCATGTGTCTCATAACCAATTTTGGCCAAATGAGATTTGAGATCTGCAGTGGAGGGTGATTTAGCTTTCTGTTAGTCACAGAAGACTTGGAATATAGCACATGGGTCATATGGATACTTTTATGGTGTGCTTTTAAGCATTTTTGTACCTTTGCTCACTATTAACTTTTATTGTATGGAAAACAGCAACATGAACATTCTGCTAAACATTTCCTCTTGTGTTCCATGGCAGAAAGCATGTCTTAAGGAAAGGTGAGTAATTTGGTGAGTAAATGATGATAGATTTTTTATTCTTGGATGAAACTCTTTCAGTTTAAGTGCAGCAGCTTTGAGCGTTCCCAACTTAAAAGACATCAGTTTCATCCCATTTTAAATTGAAGCCAATATTACAAAGTACATAAGCTACCATTCAAAAGTTTGCAAGTAAGTTTTATTTATAGAGCACATTTAAAATTCAGCGTTACACTGACCAAAGTGGCGAACAAAACCAATAATAAAATACAGCAAATTCTAAAATAGAGTAAAATTTTAAATAACAACAATAATAATAATAAAAATAGGAATATCGACAACAACAACAGTTACACATTCAATTAATAGCCCGGAAAGGCGAGAGAGTAAAAATGTGTCTTAAGTCTGGACTTGAAAATAGAAACAGAAGAAGCACTCCTAATGTCAGGTGGCAACTGATTCCACAAACGTGGAGCAGCGACTGCAAAGGCTCTGTCTCCTTTTAATTTAAGTCGTGACCGAGGGACATGTAATAGAGCTTTATAAAGCTTTTGGCTCAGAAGTTTTTTTTTTTTTTTTAAAGAAATAAATACTTTTATTTAGCAAGGATGCACAGTATTATTATTTTTACTGTATTTTTGATCAAATAAATGCAGCATTGGTGAAAATAAGAGCCTTATTTCAAAATAAATAAGTAGATAAATACAAATCTTACTGACCCCAAACTTTTGAACAGTGGTGTATATCCTGTCACCCTCAAGATAACCTAATAGCTCATTTTGTTCTGCAGACATGATTCAAATAGGACACAAATAGGACAAGTGGCTGTTGCACATTTTATTTGGGTGCTGTTCATCTTAATGGCTGCCTGAAGGCTTAGTTGGCTTGAGTGTGTGAAGCCTGGGCACAGCTCCTGTGTCTGGGAGGTTCTCTCTCTGGGAGGGCACTTGGAGAAAGCTTGCACTGTCTGGGATCTTTAGCAGGGATACAGAGACTGTGGTGCAGTGTGTATCTCCAGCAATCATGGTGTGCTGTGTCTTTATGGGATGTTACCTTGTACTAGATCTTCTTCTGCTTGGATTGCATGTGGAGGGCAAATGGAAAGCCATGGTAGGAAACAAATACATGTCTTTCTTTTTAATTGTGCTTCACTTCATTATTCATTATTAGATGGTCAGATTTTGTTTTGATGTTTAGCGCAAGTATCGTGCACAATTTTTTTATATATTAAAAGTTGTTTTATGATCTGTTTTTATCTAATATTCGGCTTGTTTATTCTAAAGACAAAAAGTGTAAATGTATAATATCACATTGTATTGAGTTTAGACGGCTCTTGTATTAGTTGACGTGTCTAAACTTTCAGAGAGGTGAGTTTAGAGCTCTTTGTCTCATCGTTCATAAATCAGCAATGGAGACCTTCCTGTGAACATGTTCACTTGCTGAACAGGGATAAACTAAGAGGGCAAATGGACTGGGAACTGCAGTTTGAATGGAGGTTAAGGAGATCGTAAGACATCAATAGAATTGGAGGTGAACAACATGTTAAGTGGGTGTTTTGGTCCAGATAATCTGATTGACCTGAGGTGCTGAGGTCATTGGTAGCCAAGTAAACTGTATACTGTCTAGTTTTCTTCTTCTTTACCAGTTGCACCCTGATTTCCTTTCTGATGATCCACAAAAATGTTCCAGGTGAGTTTCTTGATGCGAGTGTCAGATTTGCCCAGCTGGGTCCCTCAACAAATGACCTGCAAGGATTTCCCTCATACCTGTGTCTTAACCATGATTTATGGTGTTTCTATTCACTGTTGGGTTAGCCGTGATGAACACTGATAATATCCTTCCCTGGGCGTCGAGGTCCAAACTCTGACATTGTGCTTTATCATTTTCCAGTCTCTCTTCCAGTTTTTATCTGTAAACCTCCAGACTGAGTTAGTAGTTATGACCTTCTCACTGGAAGATCTGATACTGATGTCTCAGTCACTTTCAGTTTTAGATCTTTAGCATTATAGAGTTTCAGTTTGAAACCGATTTGTTGTCATTGTCAAGTACTGTACAGAGCCAATGAAACTGCATCTAACCAGAAGTGTCATCGTTAGATAGAATATAAATAAATGATGGTAAACCACAAATGACAGTGTAGTGAAGAGTGAAAGTGGAAGTGACATCTGCAAACGATGCTGAAGTTTTCTCAGAACTAGCTTCACTTTTCAGAGCCATTTTTGTGACTATTCAAATAACTTGTCTCAGGGTCATTTTAGTAGATGTATGAAGTTAGTTTCCTTGGGGTTCACACAGATGTTGTAGTTCACACCTGCCCAAACGTGTATTTTACTGCAAAGTTTGTCTTAATTTTAAACAAATGTCTATATAGTTTAAACTTAAAGCCTTGCAAACTTATTTTTGTCAAATGTTTTGCTTTACCCTTACATTGTGTTTGGGTTATTTTGATCTGGAGAGGATTTAGTTTTTCCTGAAAATGGTAGTTCATGTTATCACATTGGTCAAAAACCTGTCGACTTCACTCACACAGGGTATAACTACTTCCCAAATTTTTGGGATAATTTTTGTACTTGGATTATTTTCCCCACCTTGTTACACTTGTGGTCAAATATGGCACAAAGTCACAAAAATGACTGATCTACAAAAAATAGCTTATAAGTCTCTCATTATGCTGTATTATCACCAAATATTGGATTCAATCTTTTTGTCAAATTGTTTTCTTTCAATTAGGATAAGTTTTGTATTTATTTTTGAAACTCAATTAATTTCTCTCTCTCTCTCTCTCTCTCTCTCTCTTCTTCTCTCTCTCTCTCTCTCTCTCTCAAAAAAAAATAAAAAAACAACAACAAAAAACTTATTGTACCCAAACCTTTCAACAATAAAGTATGAGTAAAATGGAGTTACATTTTTGGTGTTTTATTGTAGAAACTAGCAATTTAAACCCATTTAAACCTAAACACGGAATATGCAGAACATCTACTCTCAAACATCCTCTCAAACATCCCACTGGCTGATCTTCTGAACAAAGTGTATTTGTGTCTTGTAGCATCTGGTTCTGCTCCAGCTTCTCTCACAGGAGTTGTTCCAGTGTTCGGTACAGTTCTAGCCAAAGATGTACCCTGTAGCACTGAGGAGGGTAAAACAATTATTTGGGGAGCTGTGTCACCCTTGAGAGGATCAAGTGTCCCTCTCCTCTGAGGCAGCCGCCTTACAGTGTCAAGTGCCTGACTGCTCTTTCTCTGTAGCTTATTGTTAGAGAAAGAGAGGAAGACAGTAGGATGGAGCCTCTGGGTCTCTGAGCTCAGAATCACATGTAGGCCATTACCTTATCGCAATTGATCATTTTTCTGCTTTGTGCAATATGCACTTAATTTTTATTGTACCTGATTTGGTGATCATCTGGCACTTGTTTCAGGTTTAAACAGAAAATGCAGAAAGGGTGCTCAATTCCATCCTGTCTGGATGTTTTGGATGCTTTTCTCCACGATTAGATATTATAATTAGAATAACTGCTGCCATGATCAATAAAAAATATACGCAAACATTTTTTCTTAGATGGAATTTGGTTTTCCACCTGCTTTCTCTGGACAGTAATAATGCAATCATTATACTTACCAGCTAAGTAGCACTGACTTCAGTGAATAGGGTGTAAACACTTTGTGCTGTAAGGAATAACATTGAAATGATTTAAATACCCACAGTGCAGCATTGTACCCGGTTACACTGGATTGCAGATGATTAATGAGTATGACGTAATGGATTATCCCCTTAGCATTTTGTTAATGTATCTTGTTTGTCATGCAAAAATTTCCTCAGTCTATTTTGTTCTCTTCCAGAACTCCAGTGTCTCTTCTAAGAATGAAGATCTTCATAGTAAATGGGAAATTTCGTCTTATCTGAACAGAACTTCAAAGCATTCACTTCGTGGCTTTGTAGTGGTGGACGAGTCTGACCTTCTCACGTCTCCCGCCATCAGCACACATAGCAGGTATAAGGACACCAGTGACAAAAAGATCCAGTCCACCACCTTGAAATCATCAGAGGAGAACTTTGCCTCTCAAAAACTGAAAACAGATTTGGGTGAAGGCCGTTTTGAGCGGCTCCCTTTGAAGCCCTCTAGGGACATTGCTGACCTGGATTCTATTTTGAATGTGAAGACATCAGCTGGTCAAAAGGATCTGGCCAGGCCTACAGTCCATCCTGAGTTAAACCAGCTGACTGAAGAAGGTTTCTTACTTCCTTCAGAGAGCTTTGATGTAGTTAAAAAGCCTTTGGTCAGTGTTCACTCAAAAAAAGGATATGAATCGCTTGTAGGCAGTGGACAAGCTGACTACAAGCACTCAAGCAAGAAAAGAGTTGCATTTAAACATGGTGATGTTATATTAGGCATGGATGGAAGGAGATACCAGCTCCTCAGTGGACCTCCAGGGCCTGTTGGACCACCAGGCAAAAGAGTAAGTTACCACAACTAAAATCCTGATGAAATCACATGTTTTTCCATGATTTTCTAACTGTAATATGTGCCAAATTGGAATCTGTATCCAAAAAACTTGAAATTAATGTCTATATATGCCATAGAAAACACAAATTTAGGTTTATTATAGTGGTGAATCTCTTTTCAGAGGGGTAATGTATAGAAATAATTACATTCAAATGAATTAAATGAGTTAATTTAAGGGTTTAAATTATTTTATAAATTTACTTGTATATTCTTTAAAAAAAATAGTCCATTTGACTGTACAAAACTATTGCCCAAGCAATAAGATGATAATTGCAACAAAATTACATTAGTCTAAAATTAGTACTGAAGCCCTCTGAGGTCATTTTCACTACAATCAATGACTGGGTCACAGTTGTGTTTGAATTAAACTATAGACTTGAAAGTAGTGCCATTTTTATTTGGTAGCAGACTGAAGGCATGGTCACATTAGTGATATTTCATCTGCAAAAACGGTCCACTGCCAGTGTTTGTTGTTTGAGCTACAAACAGACCCGTTATGAACTCGTCACATTAAGCTAGTCTGAAAACTAATTCTTAATGTCACTATGTAATCACACATATTTTGGTCATATTTCGAAATGCATTATTGCCGAAATCTGAATGTTATGTAATCTTTTCATCTTTTAATGGAGTATAGACGAGCATTCCTTTGTCTATGCTTCACATCTGTAACCATACATTACTACATCTGCCCTCTTCTGAATGATAGCCTTCCAGTATGAAACCCAAACATAAGGCCGTAGTTCTAAATGTGCACTTTGCAGGGTTTGCGGTTTGGCAGCGCTCTACAAATTGGCATGTCTGAGAGTGTCGCATTACGTAATATACATAAGATTAAAAAGGGCATGGACCTATAAATATTAATTGACTCATGAGTCTTATGGACGTCTTCTACTGTGTCATGATGTCCATGCTTACATTTGAACATGGAAGCCAATCCTCTAAAACTAAGAATGATGGTTGATGACAGTAACCTCACACTTTGTTGTGATGAAATGCTTTTTATAAATGCCAAAGTCCCAGAAAGTTACTTCATATGCAGGACCCTCAGTTTAAGATTGCTTTTGTTGTTTGCACAGGGGTGTGCAGGGAAAAGGGGCTATATTGGATACAAGGGTGATAAGGTGAGGAATTTACATTTCATACAACTCATTACATTGTTCTGCGAGGATGGCATCACACTGATTTGTACCTGTATGTCCTATAAGGGTTCTCAAGGAGTCCGAGGAGCAGATGGGCCAAGGGGCATACCAGGACCTCCAGGTCCACCAGGACTCCCAGTCCTCTACCTTTGGAGGAACACAGAGGAGGATTGGGCTGTATTTATGGTAGGCCTTAATACGCCATATTCTGGAGGATCTTCTATAGGTTAGGCTTCACTGTTTGTAGTCTGACAAGCCACAGACGTCATTTACCGCAGTTTAAATCAGCTAAACTGGCAAAAATTGGATGAATCTAGATAAATTAGTCGATCATCCTGCCCATCCCTACCAAACATGAATGTGGTGCAGTGAGCCACTGCCCTGTGTCTTTCAAACTGCTGGATGAACCAGGCTTTCAATGTTCCTGCCAGACCTCGTATCTATTTGTGACTCTTTATTTTTGAGCATATATTTAAGTGTAATTGTAAAACCTCAGTTTTTACCTCCCTGTAGATTCTCATAGCTCAAAATGGTTGTGAATATCTGCTTATTATAGTGCAGTGGCAACTTGGTATTATTTAATGTTTTTTTTTTTTTAATGGAGAATCTCCAAATGTTGTTTTTTCATCATCATTTGGCAGAATCCTCGAACATGATGGATGAGTTTAGTGCTCCAAAGAGGAGTCGTGTGTGTATTGAGCCATGGGTGGTAGGTGAGGGAGTTGTACTTTGCATAAAGAGTGAGACTTTATGTACATTCTAAGACCATGTCCTTTCTGTGCTGCCCCACAGGTTTCACCATTTGAAATACCTTCACTTGAAGGATGATTTGATTTGATTTGATAATTTATACCAAAAAGCCATTACAGTATGTGAATTTTATTTTAGCCCAGTTCATCAGGGAAGTTATTTAAGTGCTTCAATATGGAAGATCAGATTTCATATGTTGTAATGTATAATTTGGCTATTCTTTAGGAAAATGAAGTCAATTTATTTTGTACATATTTTTGGCAAAAATTATTAACCCAATTTTCCATATAAATCTTCACTACATGATGTCATTTTTTATTAAATAAATAAATTACGTTTAAATATTTTTTGACCTTTTTTTCTTAGATTTTTGTCGCTATGATCAATGATAAAAAAATATTTAAATGCTATTTTTTTTGTTTTTTTTAGATCATCAAGTGTTAACTGTACATTTTAAGGCTTTTAATGGTCGCCTCCAGGCCTTCCACCGTTTTCCAACTGTTTCATCTCTGATTTATATAATTTGTCCCTTGTGCATATGTCATGTTTAGATGGATGTGGCTGAATGGGAATGATTCTGTGGTGATTAGGGGCGATTTGTCTTTGAAATACTGTAGACTGAATCCTTACAGACATTGTTTGTGTTGATGGTGCTTTACTGTTTACCCAGGTGCACTCTGTATAATGGTTGCAGTGTTGTGAGGAGGTTTTGACAGATGTTTAGATCCCTCTGTTTCAGTGGGACATGCGGAAGGCAAGTGCACTGGGAGGTCCGATTCCCCAACTTCTCGTAAACTCACCTTCACTGGATCAGCAGTGAGCCGAACTCTGCCCTGTTGCCAAATTGAGCATGTGCCAAGACAAATGTTGTATAAAGCGGAGGTAGCCTGGGTGATTTAAAAACAGCGTGACAGAGACTGTGTGTCTATGTGGGTTCAAGGCCTCAGCTTTTCCAGCCCACACTGCAGAGACAGCGTACACTGTCCCTCAGTTCTTCTCCTCTATTTGAACAGGAGAGATGCCTTTCAACACTCCCTAGTTTGTGTTTCTTATAGAGATGAATTGAAACATACAGGCATTAAGTGTTATAAGAGTTTAGATTGAGGATTTGTTGTTGAGCAGAGTTTTTTTTTCTTCCTCTTAACACCAGTCAGGTACAACATTTCCCATCATCTCTCGTATGCGGTCTGAATTGTATTTATGCATTCATGCATATGCTGGGTCTGAAACCGCTTGTTTGTTTGCTCATTTAATATTCATTACATAGTGAATGCCACATGTGGGAGTAAATGAGTCAATTGAGACAATCTAAACAGTCACAAAACAATAAAATAAATACATTTAAAAAATATATGTGTTTGAAACATGTATAAGCATTGTTTTGGTATTGTTTATTATGTTCTTATGTACTGTTATTGTATTTATTAATATTTTGAATTAACTTTTATTTGTACATTTTCAGTGTTCATTTTCATTTTAGTATTAGTAATTTTGTGATATGCTATTGTCATTTATTTTTATTTGTATTTCAATTTGAATATTTTTATTACTTCAACTTAAAACTTATTTTATTTCAGTTAGTTGGCAAGGCAATATTTCTAATTTTGTTTTTTAAGTTTAAGTTATTTTTAATAGTTTTAGTTTTGGTTTTAGTGAACAACAACAATGTTGTGATGCAGTAAATGTTATGTGACTGTTCATACTATGTGTTTGTTTTGTAGAGAACATCTTATTACCAGTTGTTGGCAGCTGGATGGCCAGTAAGTATTTGAAAGTAGAATAAATTAGCAAAACGTCATTATAATATATGCATGTGGTCTCTCTCACTAAACCCTGTCTCTCTGATGTCCTGCAGAGACAGACAGGACACCCTGGACCAGTGGGTGAGATGGGGAGACCAGGTTTACCTGTGAGTACACAATCAAACATACAGAACATCTTTAATGCAGACTGAATTGTTGCAGAACCTGTGTTGCAGAGTATAAACAAATTGAGGGTCATTGTGCAATAGTACGGTTTACCATAATATGACAGATGATGAAATGATGTTACAAACAGATTCGATTTGAGTGTCTTTCTGTTTAGCATGTTGGTATATAGTACTGCGATTTGATTTATTTCTGAAGGGGTTACCTGGAGACCCAGGTCAGACAGGACCACCAGGCCGAAGAGGCGATATGGTACCTATTCATTACAGTATCTCTGTTTTTGTGTGTGTGTGTGTGTGTGTGTGTGTGTGTGTGTGTGTGTGTGTTCATAATAGCCATGAGAGTTCATTGGTATCTTCAACAACAGTTAAATGTTACTACGAGGTACACTACTGTTAAAAAGTTTGTGGTCAATACAAATTATTATTATTTTTTTTAGATTTTTGAAAGAAGTCTCTTATGCTAACCAAAGCTGCATTTATTTGATGAAAAAATGCAGCAAAAACAGTAATATTATGAATTATTGTTATTTAAAATAACTGTTTTCTATGTAATACATTTAAAATATGATTTATTCTTGTGATGGCAAAGCTGAATTTTATAGCCATTACTCCAATCTTCAGTGTCGCATGATCCTTCATAAATCATTCTAATATGCTGATTTGGTGCTCAAGTAACATTTCTTATTGTTATCAATTTTGATAACAGTTGTGCTGCTTAATTTTTTTTTTTTTTTTTTGTGGAAACTACTTTTTTTTTCAAAATTATTTGATGAATATAAAGTTCAAAAACAGCATTTATTTGAAACAGAGTTTGATTGCAACAATGTAGCAGTCTTTACTTTTGATCAGTTTAATGCATCTTTGATGAATAAAAGTATTAATTTCTTTCAAAAGAAAATCTTACTGACCCCATACCTTTAAACATTAGTGCAGATTTATGTAAAGCACCTAATGGATTTAATTACAAGCAAGCACTTTATCATAGGGTGGCATTGGACCCAAGGGTGTTCGAGGCCGAGCAGGGACTCAAGGAAGAGATGGAGAGAAAGGTCCAGATGGGGCAACAGGATCTCCAGGTGTCCCTGGTCTACAGGTGAGACTGAGGGCATGGGATGTCTACAGTAGCTTTTGTAGTAGTTGTAAAAGTTCAAGTTGGGACACTAGTGTGAATATGGTGATGTTTTTGGATAGATTCTGTAAAGCTATAAATTGTAGCTGTGGAACATATGTACTTCAATTGTGGAAAACCATATGTTTTATATTTCTGGTTGTGGAACAAGGGTCCTCATGGTTACAAAGGTGACACAGCGCCCCCTGGTGAGAAAGGAGATGAGGTACATCATGAGGCAACATAATATTCTGAAATACACTCCCCTGTAACTGCCTCACACGGGATTATAATATACTTATCTACATAAAACAGTTTTTCTGCCTCTACGAGCAGGGTTTTCCTGGTGCTCCTGGCCCCAGAGGAGACAATGGACAGACTGGCCAGAAGGTAAGGAAACCTGCATCTGAAGTATTTATAATTCATTTAATTTGTATGTACTGTGTATATACAGTATATAAAATTAATACCTATACTGCCCTCTAGTGGATCAGGAGGAGACACTACCACTAAAAAGTATTATTTTTTTGAAGTTGTAATGTAGATCTTGAAAAATCCATGATTGGTTATGCCTTTGTTGTTTTCCTTTTATTTATATATGTATATATATTTATAGGGCTCAAAAGGAGACATTGGGTTTACTGGCTTTTCTGGTCCTCCAGTGAGTAAATCACTTCATATTCTTGAACTGCTACTTTTAAATATTATTACTAGTAACTTGTGTTAGTATCCTTACACTGCAAAAAATGCTTTTCTAGTTTAGATTTTTTGGCTTGTTTCCAGCCAAAATATAAAAAAAATTCTTAAATCAAGAAGAATTTTCTAGACAAGTAAAAATTATTGTCTTGTTTTCAGAAAAAACAAGTCGAATTTAAGTGAGTTTTTGCTTGAAACAAGCAAAATAATCTGCCAATGGGGTAAGCAAAATAATCTTATTTCAAACAGAAAACAAGATTATTTTGCTTAAATAATAAGCAAATAATAAGGGCAGCTAGAAACGCATTTTTTGCAGTGTAGATATATTTATATATAAAACATTTTTTTAAAGGGACCGGTTGGTTTACAAGGTTTTCAAGGGATTCCTGGGCCACCTGGTCCTAAGGTGATTCATTTAATTCACAATTTGTTTTAACATATTTTTACATTCATCTTGACAGTAAGTATAAAAATGTTGTTTTCATAGGGGGATCCAGGGAATGATGGAAAACGTGGTCCTCCTGGGACAGTAGTGAGTCATTAATAACCCCTTTTTTAATAAGAAATAATCACTGTCCTCAATTCAGTTTTCCCAAAAAAAAAGAGTTTCTTTTTGGTTATAACGGATATCCATTTTATCATTTTTTACTTGGATGAAACATAGTTTGAAGAACTTTCTTTATTCAAGTTTTCATAAGAGTAACAAACACTCTTAACAGAGAGATTTTTATGGATCCTGCTTAATAATGCTCAGTTATGTGTTTGTGTCTTGCCAGGGAGCACCAGGTGCTACAGGATTGGTTGGTGCACAAGGTGTTAATGGCTCAGAAGTAAGTGATTGACACTTGCTTACTGAATTTGTAGTGCAGGTTCATTGCTTAAAGGTATAGTCTACCCAAAAATGAAAACTCTGTTATCATTTGCTCACCCTCATGTTGTTCTAAACCCATATGACTTTCTACTATGGAACATAAAAGGAGATATTTTGAAGAATGTTTGTAGCCAAACCGTTTTGGTTCCCAGTGACTTCCATTGTATTTCTTGCCCATAAAATGGAAGGCAATGGGAACCAATGTTGGTTTCATTACCAACAGTCTTCAAAATATTTTTCTTTGTTTAACAGAAGAAAAAATGTCAAGCGCGTTAGGAAACATCAGGAGGACGAGTAAATAATCCAGATCTAGTACAAACTATCAAAGAAAGACAAAATTGTCTGAGTATTCCACCTACAAGTTTTGAAATCTGATTGGAAGTTGATTGACTTGGTTATAAACCAAAACACTTTTGCTGTTACAGGGGGATATTGGACCTGCTGGCCCTGTGGGTCGGAAAGGCCCTCAGGTATACAACATTGTTTTGTGTCATTGTTTCATGAAGTCTGTTCTTAGAGAATACACAGAGGCTGAAATAACGCAAAACCTGTTCTGATTGTTCCCCCTAGGGGCCTAGAGGGATCGAGGGAGATAGAGGCCCACCTGGTCATTCAGGATCACAGGTACATTTTTGTAGAAATGCATATATTGCTACTACTAAAAAAGTAGGAAAAACACACAAAATATGGGTCTTTTGTGACATTTAATCAGAAGTAAGATTGTTCATGGATGTTTTTTCCATAGGGACTTAAAGGTCAGGCTGGTCCACAGGGTCTCAGAGGTTACAGAGTAAGTTTTAAAACTTTTCCTGTGTACATGTAGAATATGTACAATTACATGTGTTATGTGTTTATGAAATGGATGCCCTAGATGTTTTTGTTTGTGTTCAGGGGCCAGAGGGTCCAGCAGGTAACAGAGGGCTACAAGGCATTGAAGGGCCCATGGTGAGTCTGTTTGTCAATATAATAAATGTAAGCTAGAGGAAAACATTTATACAATTACTTATAAACTCATACAACAGGCCTTCAGCAACCAATAGAAAACATTTTATGCATTGTATATGTTGTAACTGATTAACATACAAGAGATGCATATTTGGACTGAATAAAGTCACTCTGACTTTAAAACTCCATTAAATTTCACCCAGCAATATTGCAAGTTGCTGCTGTGTTCTGGCAGGCTAGAAAAATGCTTTCACTACAGATGCCTTGAAAAAAAATTAAACCATGTTTTGGTAATACAATAATATGATTGGTCCTTTTTAGTGATTTTTTTTTTGTTGTCTGATGAGAATTCAGAAAAATTAGTATGCTAAATGTTGTAGTTAGAAGATACCATTCATTCATTCATTCAACCAATCAATCAATCAATCAATTATTTAGGGTGCAACTGGAGATCCAGGTCCAAAAGGCTTTCTAGGTGTCACCGTAAGATATCTGATTTAAATCTCACTGTATTTATTGGACATTTTAGTAAATATTTATAAATATATGTCCTTTATCATACATTACCTCAATAATGAATGCCTCTAATTCAGGGCAATAGAGGACCGGATGGAGAGAAAGGTGACCGAGGACCCAAGGGGAAAAAAGTAATCACCAGCACACAATAAATTCAACACAATGCATTAAAAAAAATCTAAAGCTTTAAACGCATAATTGGAAGATTCAGTTAATTGCCTGTTTATGATTATACTCTACTGTGTGTTTTTAGGGACCAAAAGGAGCACCAGGGATCATGGGTCCTCAGGGTGAGAGGGGCCAGCCAGGCCTCCCCGGCTTACCTGGTGTCAAAGGTCAGCCAGGTGCTCCAGGTATCCAGGTATACAGTTTCACAGAAGATTCTCTATAGTATGCCTTACGTCATATTCTTCATATGCACTACAGGCATAATCTTCAAAAGAAGATTTCTTGGCAAAACACATTTGTTTTTCTCTCACGCTTTACTCCCCCCCCC